TCGCGAAGAAACGGAATCTCGTAGTTAATTTTTAAACTAAGAGGAGAGAGAGAGAGAGAGAGAGAGGAGCAGTTATATACGACAAGTACAAATTCATAAAAAATCATGGTGTTACGAGAATATTTTTATTTCTTCGGTTTTTCGGGTTTCGTTGAATGTTTGAATCGAAAGCATTTTTTTAATATCTTCCAAGCGCGTTCGAGCTCTACGTTAACAATTATACAACTGCAACAGCTACCCGTAGTTGGGTAGAGAGAAAGAAAAAAAAATAAAATAAAATAAAATAAAATGAAAAAAAAAAAAAAGGAAAAAAAATAATAGTGCACATCGTGGCGTGCGAGCGTCGTTTATTTTTGCGAAAACCACGAGGCACGTGCGTTACGAGCCGTTCTAAAATTCGGTGAATTTACAGCGGTGTGCCATGGCAAATTCACGAACAAACGCGGTGAAAAAAAAAAACAACAACGGAGAGAAGAAAGAGAGAGAAGAGAGAGAGAGAGAGAGAGAAAAAGTTCAATGGTATACAATTGTACATATAATTGTCATACATAACGTGTCGTTCATTATATCCAGTCGGCTCGTGTCTCTAGTAATCTCTACCAAATCCGATAAATTCGGCCCGACAATTGGCAATAAATTTTTTTCAGAGAATACAACGACACAACGACCGCACACATCCAACTGTGTTTATCGTTTCATCTCTACAACCGAGTATCGTTGTTTTATCATACAAATCTATGGCATGACCACGTTCAATAATTTTTTTTTTTCCTTCTCTCCCTCTCTCTCCTCTCTTTTTTCTCAATTTCTCTCTCGCTTTTTTTCCCCTCCCGTTTTTCCCTCCAAACTTTGAATATCGTTCTTCGCATGCTTCCCCCTTTCTCTAAATCTACTCTAACTTTCTCGATATAATATATACATTTATCTTTCTCTCTTTCTCTTTATTTCTCTCTCTCTCCCTCTCCCTCCCCCCCTCTCCCTCTCTCTCTTTCTCTCTCTCTCTAAATTCTCCGCAGCGAGCGCGATAGAGCCGAAAGAGTGGAACGGTTCGTTAAATGCCTTTTTAGCTCGTCCCGTTCCAGAGCCAGTTTTTCGAGGTGGCGAAGCGATTCTCGATGACGTTAAAAAAGTGTTTCTGGCACGCGTCGCTTTTGAGCGGAACGCGCGCCCATTCGAAACGAGTCTCCCTCGACTAGGAGGGTCGAGGACACCCACTTCACAATTTATCCTGCAACAGACTTGGGGTAACATAATTAAAAAAAAAAAAAAAAAAGAAAAAGAGGAAGAAGAAAACGAAGAAGGGAGAAAAAAGTGAAACGGAATAAAAAAAAAAGGAAACGCGGTTGAATGTACGAGCTACTGCTATTAGAGTAGATTTCGAGGACGATAATAGTTGTAGCCTACTACTGGTTAACCAGTTGAATAAAAAGTTTCGAAATCTCTTCATTTTCCTAAGCGTTGGTCACTGATTACCGAAGATGAGACCGAATTGTTTCTGGGAAACGAGTACAAGATAATAATTTTTTAAAAAAGAATCGACTGAATCGAGTGACTAGATCGAGAGAACTTGATATCGAGAGAAGAAGAGGAATCGTATCAGTGAGAACTTCGTAATCGTGTGACAGAGGACAATAGGTGCATCGTTGAATCGAAGTGGAGGATCCGGCCGAAAAGCTCGGCCGTTAGAACCGTGGAATGGAGAGCGTTCCCCTTAATCGCGTGAACGATCGTGCAACGGACAAGAAAATATGAGTGATTGGCTGGCCGGACGAAAGAATTCGACCGATAAAGGTGCAAAGAACCTTGGCGAACTTATCAACTCTCAAAGGCTTGGTTGACGTTTCGTAGAACGAGGGACAGAAACGAGATGGATAGAGAAAATGCGTTATTAATTCCAGTACCATTAATCATAGCTGAGTTAACCGGCAGAAACAAGCGATAGTTGGAAAGGAAGAATAATTAGAAACGAAAAGGAATACAATAGTCCAGTATTATAGAGAGCGAGTCGATAAGAATACAAAAGAAAACCAGCTTGGTTGAAAAGTAATAGTAATATAAAGAGTGCTAAAAAGTAAGAGAGAGAGAGAGAGAGAGAAAGAGAGATCTATTTTCTTTCGTTCGTCCTCCTCCTCCTCCTCCTCCTCCTCCGATCCTAAAAAAATCCCCTATCGTATCGTTTTCTCCGGCGCGGACAAATTGTGCGCGCGTTCGATCGTGGTGAAAAACTGGATGGAACAAATCCGATTTCGAAAGAAATCGATGGAAAATTTTCTCGGTTTGGTGTAGAAGCGGCTATCGGATACCTTGCTGAGCGGGATGCCTATTGTGGTTGCTAGGTGCCATCATGTGCATCTGGTGTGCCCCGACCGGCGACCTCAGCGACAAATTGTTCAGGTTCACGTTTATCGAAAGATTCGTATTGTTACAGGCGGCGGTCAGGTTGTTGTGATTGTTGGGCGGTGACGTGGTCGTTGTTGTACCCACATTGGAGGCGGCGTGCGGCGACAATCCGGAGCTGTCTGTGGTAGGCGCCGACGGATTCGACGAGGTGTTGTGAGAGCCGAAGTCCTTGCCGCCATTTGCGCCACCACCGCCGCCGCTGGTACCGGAAGAACCACCGGAGCTTCCGGCCACCGTCTTGGAGCACCTGAGGCACTTGGGCAACCAGGAGTGGCGGCGCACGAACTTCCTGTATTCCTTCCTCACCTGCAATGGCGAAGCAAACCCACCCCCCGAACGAAAGTTTTTTTTAACGGTGCACAAGAAGAACCAAGGCAAGTGCGAGCGGCGCGTTAGTTTCTCGTTCGCGATGAATTTCAAAAAAAGAAAAAAAAAAAAAAATAAAGTAAAAGTAAGGAAACGATCTTTCGAAGGATGATCGATACGACGAAGGATGAATATGCAATTATATTGAGAAACATGAATCGATCGAGTTTACGTACGAAGCGTTGGTGCTGAATTTACAGATAAATCAGGAAAAGAGCGGTGCATCCTGCAGTGGCAACCAAAATGTAAATGTTAATTAAAAAAAAAAAAAAGAAAGGAAAAGAAAAATCAAGATAACGAGCTGCAAATTAATCTATACAGGATCCCGGTTGATTCGACGAATAAACGTGGATGATTTTCGATTGCCACAGCACTTTATTTGAGACATCATTCGTTGTTATCGTGATTGTTTGCGAGATACCATACGATGCCTAGATTACGTCACGTTTAACATGATTCTGTTCAAACGATCCTCTCGCTTACGGAATTACTCGCTACTTATATATAATATACGAAGAATCCGCTTTCGTACATCAGTGCATCGAATTCTCATGTTACAAGATCTTTGACTCGTGAGTAATTGTGTTTAACTATAAACCTTACGATATAGAAACAGTTTTACAATCTTTATATATTTATATATATTTATATATATAAATATCCAATTCGACAATTGATTCTCTGATTTTATTACTTTTCTCGGAACAGTTGACAATAATAATATATATTCGTTTGCTCTCGAAATCGTTTCACGATTTTGTTTGATACAAAATTGAAAAATATATGTATATACGCATAATCAATCGAACAAATTGTTATATTCAATAATAATAATTATTATTATTATTATAATTATCGTAATTAATCGATAATGATAACATTTTCTTCTCGCAACACTAATTGCTCGCACTAATTAGGATGCCACGCGAATTCTCATTAACGAGATGGAGAAAAGATGAAAGAATGAAGGATGATTGAACGAGGTGTTCTAACGCGTCGAAACGCGGTTTCAACAACACCGGC